CCAGGCAGGGGCAAGACCAAAATCTCTTTATGCTGCTGAGTTGGTACCATACTACTGCCTTCATAGCACCAACCAACAATAGTGTGTGCTGCTCAAAAAGTGCGTGTCTCTGTCAGGGAGATGCTGCATTGAAAGCTGGGTCATGAAATAAATGTAGCAACTGAGCCCTTCACTGCAGAACCATCTTTGCTCAGTATCTCTCAGCCACTTTCCCTATCTTGCATTTTGAGACCTTGACTTGACAATCTGCTCGGAGCCACATTGACCCCATGATGTGTTTGCTAGCAAGTCCTTTCCCCTCCGGAGAAAGCAGGAGGCATGTTGCTAAGGCTTCCCACTGTTTATAGGATCAATCCATGTTGCTACAATAGATCTTTGCCTCTTTTTTTATACCACTTGGCACTGGCTTTCCCTCTGCTTTTACACTTTCCACTTTAGTTGCTGCGGAGCAGATAGGAAGCCATGGCTGCCTTGTGACACGGACAAAGATGGCATGTGCCCAGTAAAGGGAATTAGGAGAGAAGGTGGGGTCTGCCCAAGCCCACTTCTCCACCAGTGAGCTTCAGATGGCATCACCAACACACTGGAACAGGAAACCCACACTTCCATCCATCTTCCAGCCCAGCCCTTGTCCTTCTCCCAGTGCTCATATCAGCTGTAACAAGACAAGCACGGCACTAAGAGTGTGTCAAAAGGGAAGTGATTTCTGAGTGCTGTATTGAGACGGGCTTGCACAATTAGGGGTAAATTCTATTAGTTTAGATGGACAGTTGACCAATGTTCTTCTGATTACAAGAGGCTGGGAAGTGGCCTGTGAGGTTTGCTCATCTTTTAAATTCAGTAAGTCCTTTTTCCTTGGTGAAGGCTTTTGGAAGGTCCTTTACTGTTCACATAGTAAGATGTGGTGGTAATGATTTGAATGATACAAGTTTCAACAGCAGTGAAATACAAGAAGCCAAAACTACCTTAACAAATACGGTTCATTTAACTAAATGAGGCAGACTGAGCAGCAGGTGGAAGGGTTAAACAAAAGGAAAAAAGATTATAGGAGTTTGCGGCTTTGGCTTCACTACAAATGGCTCTCTTGCAGACTTTATAGCATTAGTGTTGCTTCTCATAAACCTTGAAACCATTCATCCATTTAGAAAGATTAAATTGGTTAGTCATCCAGAACATAAAATATACACATCCATTTTGTCTGTTACCCTAAACCATCTGAAGTATAATAAATGCAGCTGATGCCATTAAACTAAAGCATTGAGTATTAATGATGGCCTCAGTTGTGGTATTTACAGTTTGCCAGCTCTTGTGTTTCTGATAGTATATTCATCTGTTGTTGCTCAGGGACGGTAAGAGCAGAGTCTTTGGGTTGGAAAACACAACTATAATATACGATGTGAGGGGCTCAGAGAAAACATCTTGGTATTAAAGCGGGGAAAATCCTAGAAATGTTACATTTTCTGTTATTCTTAGAAGGTCAAAGTTAAGAGGCACAAACTTCACTTACGGTATCTTGGTATATCTGTAATGGTCTGTTACAGTCTGCAAAGACACGTTTGTTTGGTTCTCTAGTTACAGATGAAGGTACTGCTATTTAAAGTTCTGTTCTGCCACTGAAACAAGCTAGACAAAACCGGCCAGACTCTTCTAAAGCAAGAGTCTGTAGAGGCACTTGGTCAGGAAGCAGGTTAATGTTTAAAAGTATAATAGACGTCTAGATTGGATTTAGCCACAATTTTTCTTGGTTAATATCAGGATTTCAGCAGCAATGCTGTTTCCCCAAATGAAGCAAATTTGCAATGGTTGCTTCAGAATACAAAGCAATTTAATTCCTGCTGCTTTGAATTATGGAAGACATTATCTCAAATGCAGGGATTTTGCAGTGTGCTGGCAGAAACATTGACATGTTTTTTAATTACTACATATAGTGACTTTAATCAGAGCATCCAGCTTGACAGCATTAAAACTGGGAAGCAAATCCTGTCTGAGTTTCCAGTTCTATGCTGGAAATGCCAGCTCATTCCTGTAGGGATCAGGAATCAATGCTCCTCCCCTTCCACTCCCCACATTTGCAGCCTCAGCCAGAGGCTGCTCAGGAGGATGGGAGTACTTGCCATGAGCACAGCAGATTCTGCGTCAGACCCTGTGTTAGGTTTAGTTTGCATTTCATTTTCTGAAGTGTTTGTGGTGGTACAAAGAATAACAAACCTCTCCCCACACCCTCACCATTTGTCTTTTACTGCAAATACAAATTGCAAAGCTACCAGGAGTGAGAGAGGTGATCTGAAAGAGGCAGAACCTCATAAATTGTTTGTGTGGGAAAGGCTGTCTTTCTTTTCCTCTAACTGATGGCATGCCAAGTTTATCTTACAGTATTTACAGTAAGATTTGTTTGTTTTGATACCCTTTGTGTGTTGTTAGGGAAAAGGCAGAAGAAAATCTCCAGGAAGTTTTATAGTTTCTGATAAACAGAGTTTAGAGTTTAATTTTCTTTCTACTCCTATACATTTTATTAGAAGCGCAGTGTATAAAGGGATATGAGATGGCAACTGGATGAGTTATTGCTGAGCTGTCATTTCTTTTCTCTATATAAATGTGGTGTTTAAGAAAGACCTCAGACCGGCAGGCTAAGACAGTGGAATTGTTAGTTCATTCCAAGAGCAGATACAGGATGGGCAGGAACAACACCGGTTTCTCCTTCTGCGTCTCATCTCGGACCTTGGCACATCGCTCCAGGAGCAGGAAGAACGTGCAGTCTCTGCCTGTTTAGCTGAGATCCAGACGGATGACAAGGAGAACAAATTCCTCCGTGACGGAGCGATCCCCGGTGTGGCTGTACAGGCAACAGATTGTCTGCACGAGGGCTAACGTCAGAGCCTGCCAGCTCCAGCACGCAGCTCTGGAGGCAACGGACTCTGTTCTGTAGAGAAGCTTTGGGTCTCCCTCAGCAGACAGGCCTGCAGGCCGAGCACCCCTGTGTTACAGAAGGACTCCTCAGGACCTGAATGTTGACATTCTGGCTGTTAAATTTGGGTGTTCCCATTAACAGACCAGATACCTTGGTGCTAATGGGTAAATTGTCAGCGCAGTGTGAGGGCCCAAGGTTGATCCCCAGCTTCAGGGAATCATAGAATAGTTAGGGTTGGAAAGGACCTTAAGATCATCCAGTTCTAACCCCCTTCCCATGGGCAGGGACACCTCACACTAAACCATCTCACCCAAGGCCTCGTCCAACCTGGCCCTGAACACTGCCAGGGATGGAGCATTCACAACCCCCTTGGGAACCCATTCCAGTGCCTCACCACCCTAACAGGAAAGAATTTCCTCCTTATATCCAATCTAAACTTCCCCTGTTTTAAGTTTTAACCCATTACCAAACTGCTGTTTTAAAGTGAGTAAACTCATAAGATGCTGGAGAGGGAATGACTGTTGCCCATCTTTTCCAGCACAAGAAGTAGAGGGTGTCAGGTGGAATCTGTCAGGCACCTTCCAGGTACCTGGAAGACACAACCAGTGGCAGTTCCTAATCACACAGGAAACTGCTGGTGGAGGTGGGAAAAATTTCTTAGGTGCCTGTTTTGATCTCATTTCTGTTCTCAGTCACCACTTAGGCAGAAGGAAGTGCTCCCTTAATTTACAGTGTCTTTACAGTCTGCAGAGCAGGTCATCAGTTGGCCTGAAAAGTCCTTACAGGGAGTCAAGTAGAGCTTGCTGCACTGAAAGGGAAATAGAGGTGTTTGGCTTTAATGCCAAAGCCTCAGCTGTTTGAACCAAACTTCTGAACACATCGTGGGGTCTTGGGTTATGGTAGGAGTTGGGAAATAAGAGACTAAGAGTATATTTTATGTGCTGTGGCGAACAGCACAGAATTGTCTTAATCTCCCTCCGAACTTTGCTGTGAAATACTGGGTAGACACAATGTCCTTTCTCTGCCTGGTGTAAGTGTTCTTTAGGCACTGCCATGAGTGATTGGGGATGAAGCCTGATTGCCAGATGTTAGAAGCTGTTCCTATAGAGCTAGGAAGGGGTTTTCCTAAGGGCAGACTGTCTTGCTGACCCCCTTTCATCCCTGTTAATGGAGCAGCTGTCCCTTCCCTGGCAATTCCCTTAGCAGGATGATACATTCAAGATGAATGTGATAGCTGTGTAGACATGGCCTCCCCTTTGCAAAGGTCAACGTGATGTATACACCATCAAGCAAAGAGGAATATTTCATGGTCAGTAAGTCTCTTTAGGCAAACTTAATACCAGGAGATGCTGGCACAAGTAGTCACGGTTTAGTTTACACCTGTCAGAAGCAGGCAGCCTCTCAACCCCTCTGTTTGGGCAAATGTATTCATCATATTTAGCCTTTATACAATATTCTTTTCATCCTCCCTGCACTTCACAAGTCTTAACTAACCCCACAGCACCCAGAGGTTACTAGCAAGGCTTTACAAGGGAAGGTGGAAAGGAGCAAGAAGAGGTCAAATGACTGGGCCAAGGTCATGGAAGAAATTGTCTCTAAAGAACATTAGGTTCTACAAGATTAAAGTGGTGTTAACTGGTGTGTCCTTGGACGTCAGCATCTTTGGAGGGAGGGGCTGTTCCTGGGGGGTGTTTTAACATTGTCTGGCGTATTTCAAGCTCCCCTCTCATCTATGCCCTTTAGAGCTTTGGGTTTTTTTTCCTGAGGCAAATGGAAGACAGAGGAGTTTTGTCTTCAGAGGATGGTGGGGAATTTCCAAGAAGGGAGAATGTCTCATATTCTGGAACACCTATGCACCTTTTGATTTTGTAATGACAAATGGGGGCATCTGACTAATGAAACTAATGGATTATTCTTTCAAAGTCATTGCAAAGATCCAGATACCCAGTTCACTTTAAAAGTGAAAGTCTTCCTTGTCTGGCACCCATAGGCCTTTTAAAGGTCTGTAGCAATGGTGATAACAATCCCATGACTTATCTGACAGTAAACACTGCAAGTATAGAATACGCTCACAGTGCTTTCTTCTCCCTAGGACTTGAAAGATGATCGAAGTGATGAAGAGGAGGAAGATTCTGTTACAGATAATGAAGAGGAGCCCATAAAGAATGGCAACAAGAACAGCTGTGGGTCAAGCAAACATCTCCTAAGCAGCAGTCACCACTAGCCCCTTTCTGCCTCACCTCCTGCAGTGATTTCTGCTCTGGTTTTAACTCAACCTACAGGATAGAATTTAAGTCAAAATTCTTATGAGAGACTGTGATTGATTTATTGTTGGCTACTGGACCTGGAAAAAAGCCCAGTCTAGAGGGAAGGGAAAAATTGTGTAGCATGACAAAACGTGTTAATGACCCGCTTTGAGAATCATTGTGAAGTGTTTGGAAAGACGTTTGGACACACTGAGTGACAGTGCTCCACAAGGTCAAAGCTCAAGAGCGTCAGATCATTTAGTGTCCCAATTCTAACACTGTTTTTCAATCTGGTATAAGATCTGTTTCACCAAATGGTTTAATTCACAGATGTTTTGTGGTAGGTAAGTAGTGTGAATTCCATTAGGAACCAAAATTACTCAATGTGGGGAAAATTTGACAGTGGTATACAGTGCATTTTAGTCTTTACTTTTCTATTTAAACCCTCATCAGAATAGCTATTTTTGGGGTTAGATTTCATTTCCTGGAGGCCAGTGGAAGCTAACACAAAGGAAGACAAATTACTTGCCTCTGAAGAGCTGGCTTCACTGCAGAAATATAGTCTTTCTCCAAAATATGCTGTATGATAGATGGCTCAAAAATTGTGTTCTAAGACTTACCTGTCAAGGAAATCACTGTTAAAATAGCAAAACTCAGCCTCAGTTCTCCACTGGGCTCTGGGTTTCATAGAATCATAGAATAGTTAGGGTTGGAAAGGACCTTAAGATCATCAAGTTCCAACCCCCCTGCTATGGGCAGGGACACCTCGCACTAAACCATATCTGTCATTCTGCCCTTGTCTTAGGAGCAAGTCCACTAAGTTCTGTTTTGCGGTTCCTGTGTGTTCAGTGCATGTATCTGGGCTCTGGGGGAGCATAGGACTAACACGGAATGTCATGTTGTCAGTCCTATGAATTCATTTGACACCAGGATCTGTATTTCTATCTCTGCTCTTTCTGAAAGTCAGGAATCACATTGGCTAGAGCCAAACTTGGATGCGTGTGACTTAGGCCACATACCGTTGTTTGTGCTGTAAGAAGTTGTCATGATTGAAGGAACAGTGGATGTTTCATCAGCTTCTCTTTACCAAAAGTGCCTCTGTTCTATGTTTGCACTTTTGTTTTAAGGCTAGTGCAGAGTGCAGCAGCTTTTTTAGTCCTGGGGCTTTCCAAGGAGAGCCTTTGGGTCTTTTAAATAGGGTGGTGCCAGTCTCATTTCCAGATGCATTAGCTCACAAAGTTGTAAGTGATTTGTGTCATGAGTTTTAGAGGTGAGAGGCTCTCTATGTGGCTCTACAGTAGCTGAGATCATCTGGTGAACTAAATCCAGTAGCTTGATAGAGATCAGGGGACCACTGCTATAACAGCCTTAGTGCTGAGCTTTTGGTTTGGAAAGGTTCTTTTCCCCTTACGGCTGCTCAGGCAGGAGCTTGGTGATCTATGGGACTGACTTGTTTTCTCAAGATTTTCTTGGCAAAGAGGGATAAAGTTCAGTGAAAGAATGGGAAATGTTTGGGATCTCAGATATGAAGAAGTTTGTGCAGTTATAAGGAGCTGTAGGAGTACTTCATTACAGAGGCTGGCAATGTGAAAGTATCTTCATATGGTCTGGTCAACTAGGCCGTGTTTAATTTTGTACTTATATTTTGGACCATGTAATACCCCAAATGTTTGTGTTTCACCATAAAGAGAACTTACTGAGAAAGGAGAATGGCCTCCAGCTTCTGAGAAGGATGGAAATGTGCAGTAGTGGAATGAGACTCCTGTGGTTAAAAAGGGCTTCTTGGGCTGAGCAGGCAGAATTCCCTCGGTAGCTGTTGTATAGCACTGTGCTTCCTTACATAGCTGTGGAAAATGCCTTAAATACTGCAGTGTGGGTTTATTGGAAGTGTAAGTACTTATTACATCATCTAAAGCAACTGGTGAGTTTGGCAAGGTCACAGTTGCTTATCAGGGCCTGTTTATTGCCTGCATGAAGAGAACTGGCCTTTCCTGACAAAACATAGAAACCTGACATCTCGGAGGCTTTAGACTCCCTTTGAGAGCAGTGGAGACAGTGATGCTTTCTTCAAGACATAACAGGGGTTTGAGAGGTGGCCAGGGTATTATCATTTCATTTTGGTGCCAGAAAACATTCCTGCTATGAGGAGGAAAGGAATTCAGGAAAAGAAACGTGAAGTTGTCACAGGAGTGAGCCTCTGAACAGCTACCGAGTTTTACACTGGAATTTATAGTCTGATTCAGGGCAAATCTTGCCCTTCCTACGTGGACGAGTCTCCCACTGAACCCAATTAACTCCACTGGAGTCTTACCTAGGAAAAATTTTGGATTGCAGTTATCCAGCTTAATTACAAGACTTGTTGTTTAAAATCAGTGCAAAACTAGGATCTCAGAGGAAAAGGTAGATAAAGACATTCAAACATTAAGTATGGAGGCAAAGTTTTGGTGAATATGGAAGAAAATAACATCCTGAAGGTGAAGGTTGAGTCTAAGCACAGTAAACAACCGAACAACTGCATCACACTGCAGTTAGGGTCATGGGACCTCCTGGGGGTTACTGTGATGCCCAGCTGAAGCGATGAGACATTAAAACTCTGGATGTAAACCACTAGGCACTGGGGATGAATACCCACAGCATGGAAAGAAGTGGGAACAGACTGTCCCAGTGGGACTGGACACGTGAGATTTGTCATTCCAGATGTTACATGTGTTTCATCTTCTACTCCTTACGGTTAGAAACTCAAGGAGCTGAGATCGTGGGGAACATGATTCATGCTAAATAAATTGATGTCATGGTGCTTCCAGATTTTCAGTCTATTCAATGCCCTTAACTTTGTATTCTTACTGTGTAAAGAGTCTCCAAATGGAAGTGCAGCACAGTTGCAGGTAATGTGTGTGAGCACAGATGATGGACTACATTACTTCTACCATTTGATGGTAAAAGTGGGTCCTGGTTTAATGATTTGATGTTGTCTGGTTCTGCTGTGTCACTTTGACCATACCAAAATACTTATGCTTGAATTAAGGACTGAAAATGAAATCTTAGTTCATTGGACTTAGCAGAATCTCTTCTGTTGTATTTAATCCTCTGAGTTTTGGTCAGGTTCTCCTGTCCATGTACCCCATGCTGCCTCTGTACTTGTTTACTACATAGAGTTACTGATCTACTTGCATTTGATTTACAGAGCTCCTTTACTCCACAGAACTCATTTTGTCAATGTGTATTACTCAGGATAATTACCCTTATTTGTTCTTAATGGCACTGGATTTGTCTGGTCTGTTGTGCTCCACACTAGAGAGAAATATTTTTTAACAACAGGTATTTATGTAAGAATTCCCTTGTTTTCCTCACCTCTTCCTCTCCGCTTTCCATTCCCTCCCAGCTTTTCAGTGAGGGCCTGGTCTGAAGTTATGTTTATTTGAGGAATGTTGGAATAATGTGCAAATACAGAGAGAATTCTTTGTTTCCCAGGAGTGCTTATGTTCATACACAGATTGAGGTGCTGTCACCCAGTTAGGGTGACATGGAATTACTACCTCCATGGCTCATCATAAGCACGGACATGGATCTCAAGCTGATAAAAGCAGGAGAGCTCTCCTGAACCCAAGGGAGCTGTGCTGATTGGTATCAGTTGGAAAGCTGTTTCATATTCCTTATTCTTTCCATTTCTCGGGCAGATCACAGAGCTTCTGACTTACCATCTCTTCCCATGGGCAAACACACATAAGAGAAGGTGTTTCAGGCCAAATAATGAACTGTAGCAAAATACTTTGGTTTTATTACCTACATTCACTTTTTTAAGCTTACGAGGAAGACTGAAGTAGATGGAAAACAAATCCAACGGGGAGATGTGAGTTTTGGCTACAAACAACTTGCAAACTGTGAAGAATTTAATAATAAAAGAAATCTTGCTGATTTAGAAAGAAAAACACCATCTCCACAGGCACTTCCCCCACTGTGGGGCTGAAGAACAACAGATAACCAGCGGGCAGGAATGAAGGTCCACGCTGAGAGTGAGAACACTGCCCCGTTGTGAAAATGCCAAAGAGAGTTGGTTTGGTGGCTGTTTGCTGCCCTGGAGCTGCAGAGCCCTTCTGCACAAAGTACTGGGATGCAATGGGGAGAGGAGGAGTCACTGGCCAAACAAGTAGGACTCTGATAGTTTCTTGCTATCCACATGTGTTAAAATCTGAAGCAGCAGAGGAGGTAAAAACCTGATGTTAATCCCTTGGCAAAGACTGAGATTCCCAATCCAGGTGACCAAGGCAATGCAGTCTTCACCCTCACCCTGGCTGGCTCCAAAGAACTCCAGGTAGGGCTCTGGGAGCTGATTTAACTGAAGTCCCCCCTGTGGGATTACTTGAGGTTTCTAGCTTAGCAGAAGACAAGGCTGAAAGCACAGGTCTAAGCTTCCACTGCAGTCCTAACAACACATGTAGGATAATGTTGTTGATGTTCTGATAGTCTGAAGATTTATGAAAATATCTTCTATTTACTCAGCTGGCAAGAGCCCTGTTCTTCTGGAGTTCGGTTACCCCATAAAGCATTCAGAGGAGACCCCATAATCGTTTCAAAGTCAGAAACATTAAGTGGAATAACAAGTATAAACCCGTCCACAGTGACTTTGAAGTGCAAGAAGCATGTCCTTGTAGTCATCGAATAGTACTGTGCCTTGAGCTGGGGTGGGAGGAAACAGCTCCCAGGCAGTTGTTTCAGGTGGTGAAAAGACCATATTTTTCCTACCACAAAAGAAGCTGGGCTAAAAAAAGCTTGAGTTGGGCAATGAAAAAGGTGATTAAATTCCCACTGAAATTCACAGGGGCTTTTCCCATGATGCTGATGAGAACTGGATCCAGACCTCAAGCAACCAGGTAAGATGATAAGGACAGCATGGCCCTGCGTTCTCCAGCTGTCAGGAGCAGGGCACAGCCCCAGTGTTCCCCCCTCCTACAGTCCAGGGCAAAATCCCTCCTGGAAAATGAGATCTTCTGTCTGCAGGACACTCACCTGAAGACAGCTCTGCCTTTGCTGCTGCCCAAACATGCCTCTTGCAAGACATCCCTGGGAAAGCAGGGATGCTGCTGCTGAAGCCTGTGATCCAAGGCCAGATTTACAGGGAAGAGGCAAATGACACAAGCTGTGGTTATCCCAACCACCTTAGTGTATGAGTGCATGAGAGGGCTGCTGAGCCAGAGAAAAGGGAGCAGAAGCTGGGGCAACAGTTTAAGCACTGACCTGACATCACCAAAATCACCATGTGAAGCAGTAAGAAGGCTGGGAAGAAAACAAGGCCTGAGAGAAGGGGAGGGAAAAGGATGGCAGTTCGGTAATAGTGGGGATCAGCCCTTCCCACACAGCAGCCAGGACAACTCCTTCTCCCTGAGCACCGGTGGTTTCAACCTGAGCCTCGCCGGTGAGTTCCCAAGGCAGGAGGATCTGGGAAACACTCCTTTCACTATGGGAGTGAGGACTGAGCTGGGGCTGGGCCAGGGTAGCCATGAGTGGAGGCCAACAGACCTGGTTCACCTCCACTTGCTGGGCAAGCCGACCTCGCTGTTCAGCCTCAGCGCTGGGTTTGTGCTGTTGGTGATTGAGAGTCCCCAGGGGTAGAGGAGCTCCTGGAAGAGTTGTGTGTTTGCTTCCTACAGTGAAGAACAGAACACTGCTGAAAGGAGTTTCTTG